GTTATTACATATCTTTATATTCATACATTTTCCTAATACATAATTTTTCATGACATTCAAGTGTGAAACTATAAAAGGTTTATGGTGAAAATATTTTAATGCCTTTGATAAGAAATGTGAAAGTCAGCCGGGCGGTGGTGGCGCACGCCTTTAATCCCAGCACTCGGGAGGCAGAGGCAGGCGGATTTCTGAGTTCGAGGCCAGCCTGGTCTACAGAGTGAGTTCCAGGACAGCCCGGGCTATACAGAGAAACCCTGTCTCGAAAAACCAAAAAAAAAAAAAAAAAAAAAAAAAGAAATGTGAAAGTCTCTCTCCCTCTCTCTTTCTTACACACACACACACACACACACACACACACACAATGAGTCCTAATCACAGATGAATGTGTATTCAAAAATTGTAAATTAAATTTATTTGAGTTTATCTAAAATGGAGCAGATTTTAGATTTTCCAGTGACAGTGTGCCATTTATGTGGCACACATCTGTCCTTTGTGACAAGAGAGATTAACTCTCTTAATCACATGAAGATTAACTGAGAGATAATATCATCAAGGCAAGGTCCAGTGACAGCTACTATGCATGTGTGCACGGTGGCAGTCAGTATAGCTTTTAATGCTAGTCATGTGATCTCCAGGTTCATCCAAAATCACAGATCCTTTCTCAGGTCATAGAAGATTTATGTTTGTCCACATAGACTACATTTTGGAGTACTTATCTTTTATGAAATATTGATCTGGATCCTGTGAACCCATCAACAGTTATTAACAGAGCCACCTTCCTTGAACCTTGGATTCCTGAAACTTGCATAATAAGATTAGCTTGTGCATATGCACATAGTGGGAATAGTTTATGTGCATGGCTATAATCTAATTTAGCATAAGGTTAAATATCCATCATGAATAATTTGTAATCCCTAAGTAAAGAACCAGAAAAGATTTAGTGGGAGTGCCCTGTGAATTAGTACTAAAAAGAGAAAAATATTTCAAAAATTAGCAAGAGAGTAAGATGCCTAGTCTTGGCCTCTTTTAGAGTTTGGGTTGTGAGGATCTTGAATGTAAAGCCCAGAAGCATGGGCTTCAGTTGGAAACCACTGAGATCTTATATGGGATAGTAATATGACCATGTTTACACAATAAGAAACACCAAGCAATGAAGCATTCTATGTGGGCCCTCCCTCTGTGCCCAACAAATGGAAATTGATAGGAACTACTCGTCAAGTAGAAAGAAGGGTCATCGGATGAGATACAGTTGGAAGATCATTAGGGGACCATAGCAATTGTTCTATTGAAAAAAAAAAAAAAACAGCGACAACAGTAAGATCTGAATTTTGCTGAAAGTAATACAAAGGAAAGAAAGCACAGCCACAAAACACATCAAATAGACAAAGAGTAACCAGGATCTGAAATGTGCTGCTACATGAAGAACACAGAGGAAAATGTAAAGCATTGCCATCTCACCGAGCCTGAGTCTGTCCTCACTAGTGGGTACTTCATGGGTTGTGTGTAGGATCCAACACAAGCCAGTACCATATATGTGTGTGTGTGTGTGTGTGTGTGTGTGTGTGTGTGTGTGTGTATTGTTTGATGTATAGATAAAACCTTATCACATGAGAATGTGTTTTCTGGGCTGATATTAAGCAAATTACATTCACGTACAGGAGATGTGGCTTTCTGGCAGAAGGATTTAAAAAGACCTTCCTCTGGATAGGAAAATTTCAAAGTTTCTTCATTTGGTAAAATGTAAAAATTGCCCTTTTCACCAAGCTAACACTCCTTATGTAGTCTGTTGCTGTGGGTTTGTAACAGACAGCTGAAGGAGAAAGCAGGGTCTCATATACCCCGAGGGCATTTATCATATACTTGGGAGACATATTGGACAACCAAAAATATTTTTTAAAGATTGCATATAAAGATTTATGCAAGTGTATGTATCTGTACATATGTATGTATGTATATTGTGTATGTGTACATATGTATATACTGTATCTATGTTCTTCTGTAAGACTAAATATATCTACCACAAAAAAATTCTAATATTTTGAAGTCCAAATTACATCTCAAGACAATACTACCCAGATTGTTGGCCGTTTCTAAGTTCAAACATCCTGTAGACTAGATAATATGACAACCCAAATGAAAATCTGTAGTGGGTTGTTTGAAATTACTGTTCAGAATATATATACTAAGAAAAGAGAGAGAGAAATAAATAAAACCACAGGTGTAATTAAAGTTTTAAGAGGCTAAAGAAAAGTAATTTCCCTAACTTAGTCATCTCTGGTAACATACAAGTAAATTTCTTACCTACGTCCTGAGGCTTTATACGTAGGGCTAGGGATTCAGTCAAAGACAACAGGAAAAAAATAAAACCTGTAAGTTTTAAGAGTCTCATGTTTAAATTTTTAAAAGAGGCCACATTCAAGAGTACCCTTGTGACTGGGCAAAACCAAATTTTTATAGTATTCTTTGACCTAACATTTGTTAAAAAGTAACCTAGTTAATCTATCTCTGAAATACATAGGCTTTTTTTTTTGTCATGGTGCAAATTTCTTGGTAATTATTAACTAGGGGGATAATTATGCTGTGTTTCACTGGGGAAAAAAATCTCATGAGTTGAAAAAAAAAAAAAAAGAGTTCACAGAGTAAGAATAATGCTCCTTCCAAAAGTTGTAAAATACTCCAAAAGTTAAAGGAGAAAAGACTCGCTAACACATAAAAAAGGAAACGCACTAAAAAAACATTAAGTTTCTGGGACCTGAGAGGTAGCTCAGTCCATAAAGTGCTTGCCTGGCAACTAGGAAGACCTGAGTTTAAACTCCAGAACTTGTGTAAAATGCAGGCTTTCTAATGCATGCTTCTCATCCCAGTACTGAGAAATACAGTTAGGCAGTTCCCTGTGCCTTCAGGCCAGCCAGTCCACATCATTTGATAATTTCAGGCCACTGAGAGACTCTAATGCATGCGTGTGCATGTGTATACACACACACACAGTGGACAGCTGAGAAGCAGAACTAGAAGTTGTTCTCTGGTTTGCACAGGAATACACATCTGTGCAGATACACACACATGCACAAGCACACAAACTCACAAACACAAAACACAGTAATTTCCACATGTAACCAAAGAAAATTAAAATAAGTTTTCTAAATGTATGGAAACAGAACAAAGACAACACTGAAAACATCAACTTCTGGAAATATATAGAAAAATAAGCACTCATATAGCCAAAGCTTTTAGAAAAGAAGTTTTTAGTAAAGGTTGACAATCTTAAAATATTCATACCAGCTGAACCAATTCTTGAATTCTGGGATTATATTGAGATCTGGATTCTGCATTTTGAAATCTTTTTCAGTTCGTAGTATTATCTGTGGTCCTGTCATGTCTAGCCTTCAGTATGGTGAAGTACATCCTTTTCACAGATGATCTGAAGTTTTTGTCACGAATAGATGTTTAAATTCACCAAGCCATTTCCTGGATTTTTTTTAGATGATCACATGGGCTGTATTCTTTATTTTGTATTACAGTATGTCAACTTTATTATTGTGTATGTGTTCAGACATCTTCATCTCTAAAGAAAACCTCTCTTGATCACAGTGACTGGTCCGTTTGATGTGCTGTTGAAATCTACTTCCCCAGGAATCTTGCTGGAGATTTTTTCTCACAGGATTACCAGACCATAATTTTCTTTTCTTTCAATGTCCTTCAGTGGCTTTGGTACTAGGTTAATGTGTGCCTTAAATAGCCAAGCATGGTGGTGGCACAGACCTTTAATCACAGTACTTGGGAGGCAGAGATATGTTCTCTGTGGGTTCCAGAGAAGAAGATATATATAGAGATAGAGGTAGAGATATATATCAGGAAGGAAGGAAGAAACACAGATAGAAAGATAGATAGATAGATAGATAGATAGATAGATAGATAGATAGATAGATAGACAGATAGATAGGTGATAAAGTAGCTTACATCCCAAGGGAAATCAGAGATGGTTGATTCCAGACCTAAGATGAGTGAAAATGGCCTAGGGACATGGATTTGTTTGGCCCAAACACTATCACTAATGTGATACTGACTTTATAAAGTTTTCATTGCAACAGAACAAAGAAAGTCATAAATCAAGGTATTTTTTGAAATTTATGATGGAAACAGCAAGCAGACGTGTTACAGTAAAAGGTCGAAGTCTCTTTGATGAGCCTGAGATGTTATCTGATGAGACATGTAGCTTTTGAGGTGGTAGAGATGATAGTTCTGTTTGCCTGTTTCCCAGAGAGTTTTATCAGACAATCCTAGTGATGTTGGGTCAGATGCAGGGGCACGTTAAAGCCTTCTGCGGCAACTAGAGATAGCCCAGGATAATTTTGCTGTGGACCTGCACCTTTCCAGCCCTCTGCACTCATGGTTCTAACCATCAATCAGCCTCGTAGTATCCTTAGCTCAGGTGATTTTTTTCCCCTGGGAGCGTCTCTTTGTAAATGTTTTCACACTGTTTGGATTTTGTGAAGTTTGAGCATGATTGGCATTCATTTGTGGTAGAAACCAACTGTGCAGACAACACAACAGCTGGTCCTAGCACTGTTAGATAGAATGCTCTGTGTATTCCCCTTAAGTTTGTTTAGTCTGAAGCATAATTTAAATCTAAAATTTCAATGATTCTTTTCTGTCTGGAGGTGGGAAATTGAAGTCCATCTCTCAGGCCCATTGATTTGCTGTGATATATTTATAATTTGCGTATCTTCCTGTTATATTATAATATGGCCTTTCCTCTAGGGATTCATAAAAATCACAGGATCACTTTAGAGTTGAGATTAAACTTGGTCAAGAGGCCATGACAATGAAGAGAACAATAGGAAGATAGTCGACCTATGGTAATGATGGCAGAACTGTCAATCAGAAGGAGGAAAGGAGGAATCACAGGACCTGAGCTCTGGCAGTCTCTCCTCTCTGCTTCCTCCCAGTTGCAACAGCTCTCCCGAGGTCCTCCACTACACAGGAAGTGAAACGATAACTGCAGAGAGGACTCTCGGGGAGGACTCTGTTATGGGTCATCATCTAAAACGGTGGGTCTGTCGTGATGCAGCTGTTTGGGGTCTGCCATATCCAGTAAGTAAACTTTCTCCCATGCCCTGTAAGCCTAGATACTTAGATTTGTCACTGGCGCCCTCTCTGGGGTGAGATGTTTGTTCCTGTCTCCCCAGAAGAGTGAACACAACACTTCTGCTGTTTTGCTCTTTTCTCATTGTGCAGTTGCCTTCTCATCTTTTCATACCGCTTTTGACTTAAAGCCTATTTGTCCCTGCTTGCTGTCCTTGCTTGCTGTCCCTGCATTGCTGTCACTGCACTCTCCTGGTTCCATTTGCATGAAATATCTGTTCTCATCCCTTCGTTCTCAGACTACATGTGCTCATACAGGAAGTAAATCTCACAAACACCATAAAGTTAGCTCCTTTTGAAATCCAGGTAGCCAGTCTGTGTTTTTTTTTTAATTGAATTTAATCTATTTACATTCAAGGTAATTATTCAAAAGTAAGAACACACCACTGCATTTTTATTCACTGTTTTCTGGCAGGTTTGTGAGTACTTTTTTCCTTGTTTACTTGTCTTCATTTGCAGATTTATGGCTTTCTGAAATGCTATTTTTTTTTTGTCTGTTTTAGCTTTTGTGACTACATGAAAGGTTCTGGTTAAGGATATTCAATAGTAATTGAATCTCTCTCTCTCTCTCTCTCTCTCTCTCTCTCTCTCTCTCTCTCTCTCTCTCTCTCTCTCTCTCTCTCTCTCTCCTGATGTGTTTCCAGGTATTTGATCATATTGTGAACACCAAGATTGTTATTTACTGGGCAGGAAAAAAAAACCTGTTTTTAGTTGTAGTGTGGCTCGTCCCTTAGCATACCCCTTTAATCCCTCTGACTGGAATAGGACGTGCCCTTATTACACACCTTTAATTCCAAACAATGAAGGTAAAGTTAGTTTGTAGAAGGAAGCACCCATGTTTGAAAATGATGTCTCATTGAGTGGCAGAGAAAACGACAAATCAGAGAAAGATTTGGCAGAATAGGATCTGCCCAACTCTCTCTCCTGAGAGGAGAGAGGAAAGGGAAGCTATTTAAAAGAGATTTAAAAGAGCAGTGCTGAGGGGGGAGGGTGGAGGAGAGGGGAAAGGAGGAGGATGAGGGAAAAGAGGAAGGAGGCAGTTTTACTGGGATAGTTTTATAGAGACAGGTTGAAGAGAGAACAAGTTAGACACAGTTGAAGACAGAATGAGACAGAGAATGAGAAGGAGCCAAAAGGTTAGAACAGATTGCCAAAATTAGTATGAGGCCAAGCAGAGCAGTTCAGGAGAGGCTGAGTGAGAGGAGTCTGATTGAGTCAGTCAGTTTGAAGAAGAGTTTGGGCCAGAACAGATGAGTTGAACCAACCAGCTAGAGCTCAGAAAGAACTAGAAAAGGGTGAGCTTTTTCAACAGCAAGTCTCAGAGGCTGAAAACATTCTAGAACTGGATTAGATTGTATGGAGGCTAGAAGCTTCCAGGACAAGGCCTAGGTTAGCAGACTGAAGCAGTAAGCCTTGGAGACAGCAATTATTTCGGGAGAATAAAAGTTACTTTTACAGTGATGTAATCATTCCTTCTTCTGAACTGTTACTGTGCATTTGAGGAGGAAGCCACCATCCTAGACTCTTGAGTATCCTTGGACATGAATAGAAATGCATATTATATTCCCCACAGGCTCACAGGTTTGACCAATTGATTTCTAGCTCTTAGCATCAGTGTGTGTGTGTGTGTGTGTGTGTGTGTGTCTGTGTGTGTGTGTCTTTGCGTGTGTGTGTGTGTGTGTGTGTGTGTGTGTGTGAAAATGGGTCATTAAGAATATAGACCACTAGAGAATAGCTCTTGAAGGTTGCAGCTTGGTCATTCTTCTGGGTTTTTAGTTTTGATTTTTGGTCAACATCATGCAATAAGTAGCTGTAATTGTTCCTGCCCCATAGAGTACACCTTTGGCCATCCCTTCTCCACCTGGATAAACTCTGAGTCCTTGAACCGTGAGCCAAAACAAATCCTCCCTCTCATTGCTTCTGTCAGGTGTTTTGCACAGAGCTGTAGCTCATAGGCCAAGCCAGGTGGGATGGCTGTTTGCTCTCTGCACTTCAGGAGGGTTGAAGTCTGATCTCCACATCAGACAGAGCTGCTGGTTAAGACAGAAGGACAGAAACTGCTGTCCGTAGAAGTCACATCTGGCTGGGCAGTGGTGGCACACACCTTTAATCCCAGCACTTGGGAGGCAGAGGCAGGTGGATTTCTGAGTTTGAGACCAGCCTGGTCTACAGAGTGAGTTCCAGGACAGCCAGGACTAAACAGAGAAACCCTGTATCGAAAAAAAATGAAAAAAAAAAAAAAAAGGAAGTCACATCTGTAGCTCACTTCCATGCCCTGGGATGGCCTGTGAAGCCAGGTTAAGTTGGTGTTTCTATTTCTAGATTGGGTGTGGAAATACTCCATGCTCTGTAGCAATTCACACAGAGGACACTGGGGTATGACCTAGGGCTGGATGCTGGAGCTGACTCAGCAAGGTTGGGATTCTCTCTTTCCGTAATACAATGTTCAGTCTATAAGGGATCATAAATACGCAAATAAAAGACTGTAATATTTCAAGTGGACTTAGTGAGTCAAAATCATTGAAGTTTAGTTGATACATAGTTAAACTGAGAATATTTAAAGTGACAAGGATTTATGTAAAACTATCATCATAATCAAGATGGTGAAAATATATCCAGCACCTCCAAAAGCACCCAGGGCCTTTTGTAATCTCTCCCTCCAACCTCACCATTTCTTCCTTCCCCAAACAAACCATGATCTGCATCCCATGGTTGTACAATGATCTATATTCTCTATATTTTTGTATGAATGGAGTAATAAAATGTGCACTCTATTACCTTACACTTCATTAATAATACTAGAGAGTTGTAGTCATGCTATCTGACATGTCAGTTGCCCTTCTTTCCGAAGTAGTATTTCATGGACACATATGAATATCACACAGTTGGCTCACCCATTGTACGATTTTGTTGCTGTCAATTTTAAGTCATTTCAGATGAAGCTTGAACATTTGTGTGCATTTCTTTGTATGAACAAGCATTTCCTTTGGGGTACATGCATATCTAGGAACAGAATTCTCTATATATGTATGTGTGTTTTTAAGCAAGAACCAAATTGTCTTACAAATAGATGAACCATTTTACATTCCCATAAACAATGTGTGAATTCTAAGCATTTTGACAATTGATATTGATGGTATTTTAGTTATAACCATTCTAAGTGTTTCATTTTACTTTTAATTAGTGACGTTTGATGTGTTTTTGTGTTTTGTTTGTTTGGGACTTTTGTTTGTTTATTTGGTTGGTTTTACCATTATTCTCTCTTAAACCTTGAGTGATGGGATAAGTTAGTTACTTTTTCATTTTTATTGCATTACTTACTTGCTCATTGTTTGGTCTCGAGGATTGGTCAGTATCATCTAGATATGAGTAAGCTCTTGTCACACACGCCTTGACGGCTTATGCTTTGCAAAAGTATTGCCCCCCAATCTTGGATTCACCTTTCTCATTCTGTTAGTGATGTCTTCTAGAGTTGAATAAAACTTTCAATTTATTTCTTTATGGGTTACGCTTTAGATGCAATATTTAAGGATGTGTCTACTTCTCAAACCAAAGTATTTTCTCTGTAAGTTTTATAGTTTTGAATTTCACATTATGATCCACTTTGGCTCATCTTGTGTGGTACAAAGCATGGCTCTCGGTTCTCCAAGCACTCAGAGTTCCAACTGTTTCAGAACCGTTTGTTAGAAAATTGCTTCCCTTATACCAGAGGTTTGCCCTGTCATATTTCCCAAAGATCAGTTGTCCATATTTGAGTGAATTCATTTCTGACCACTTAATTCTGTTATGCTGACCCATTGATCTATGTTTAGACAAATGTTCTCTTTGTTACTGTAGGTTTATAAAAATCCTTGAACTATAAAGTAGTATTGGCCCTGATATTTTCTTCATTTTGAGGGGCTATTTTAGTTTTGGCACATCACTTCCGTTTCTATCTGAATTGTGCAATCAGCTTGTCAATGTCTAAAATAAAATAAAATGAAATAAATTTTTGGATTTTGACAGGGATTTCACTAAATCAAACTTCAAAGGATTGATATTTCCTCTTCCGGCCTCAGGACAATGTAGACTTCATTCCCTTTAAATGTTCTCTTTAATCATTCTATTTGCAGTTTTTGTAGCCAGCCTCTTCACACATTTTTATAATTCCTGCTTCTAAGTGTAACAGATGCACACCCAGGAGCCGTTCATGCTTCACTTGTATGCCCTGTCCCTTTGCTGGACATTCCTCTTCCTGTGCTGAGAAATGCAGGCTCATCTTCTAGATGTCCTCAACAATGGTGGCAGTGTCTTCCACCAAACTGATCTCACCTGCTCTCTCGTTCTCTCAGAAATTTATTGTCACCTCTGTAAGATCACAGCCTGGTGCCACTGCTTTTTGATTCTCTTTCTCACTCTCTGCCAAGGCAACTGGGAATTAGTAACCATAGAATGATTATTTCCAGGACAGGGCCTGCCAGCCAGAGAGCGCAATTCATGACGAATTTTCATGTATCCTATGAAAACATGGCAACTCCATGTCTCATTATGTTACATTTCTCACTAGAACATGAAAAGTAGGTGTATAAGGAACAAGAGGACCAGGCAGAACCTAACAGTGCTTATCCTGAGAATGTCTTCTCAGGTCACCGAGACATCAACTTCTACTGTGGTAGATCCATTATGGGTAGCTTTCATCTTCTGCACTAACTGCTACTCATGACTTTTAAAAGAATCTGTTTAGACAATGGTGCAGCGGTGGGAGTGGGGTAGGAGTGTGACCCCTAGGATGCACCAGAGATCTGGGATTGAGGAGGTTCCAGGGAGCCCATGAGGGTGACTCTAGCTGAGACTCCTAGCAATGAGGGATATGGAACCTGAAGTGGACACCTCCTATAGCCAGACAGGACTCCCACTGAAGGGGTAAGGACACAAACCAACCCACAAAACCTTCAATCCAAAATTTGTCCTGCCTATAAGAAAGGCAGGGACAAAAACGGAGCAGAGCCAGAGGGTATGGCCAACTAATGACTACTGGCCCAACTTAAGACCCATTCCATGAGCAAGGCCCAATGATACTCTTTTTTTTTTTTTTTAACAGAGAAGAGCATAGCAGAACTGTCCTCTGAGAGGCTCCACCCAGAAGCTGATCAAAACAGATGCAGAGACCCACAGCCAAAATTTAGACAGAGCTCAGAGTGTCTTATGGAAAGAGTTAAGGAAAAGATTAAGGGACCTGGATTGGCTAGGAACTCCACAGGAAGACAACAGAGTCAACTAACATGGACCCTTGGGGGCTCCCAGAGTCTGAACCACCAACCAAAGAGCATACATAGGCTGGGCCTAGGTCCCCTCACCACACATATGTAGCAGATATTTAGGTTGGTTTTCATACAGGTTCCCCAACAACCGGAGTGGGAACTGTCCCTGAAACTGTTTCTTGCCTGTGGGTCCTGTTCCCCTAACTGGGCTGCTTTGTCTGGCCTCCATGGAAGAGGATATACTCAGTCTCGCAGTGACTTGATGTACCAGGATGGGTTGGTACCTGGGGATTTGGGGGGGTTCCCCTTCTCCAAGACGAAGTGGAAGGGAGTGTGGGGGGAGGGGCCACATAAGGTAGGGACTGGCGAGACTTCGATACAAATAAAAAAATAAATGGAAACAAACTTATTTTTTTTATAAATAAGCAAGCTAGGAGAAGAGAAACAGTTGAAAAAGTCTTTATTCCTGAGGTATACAAGTCTCACATGGAAGTCTTCACCATGTGGTTAAAGTATTGTCAGTTACAATTAAACCAAAAAGCTCACATCAAAGCGTCAAGACATTTTTTTTTTTGTCCTCTCTTCCTTCTGCAACAGAAAAAGAAAATAGTTTATATTATTTATTTATTTATCTATCTATTTATTTATTTTTGTTAATAGGATCAGAGGAAAGCCTTCTGGTGGTATTTTCTGAAGCCTTTGAAATCTCCCAAACTTTTGTTTTAGTGTTTTAAAAATAAACCTTCTTTATTACATTATATTCACTTTAAAGGAAATTAATGATACTTCTTAGAATCATCACTATATTGATTGATATATTGAAAGAATCAGTGTCATTATTTAGCCTGGGCTGAATTTTTCCTTACCTGGAGATGTTTAAACCCCCAAAGCATCACGAGTTTTGGAAATCAACTTGGGACCCTGGAAGTCAAGAACACATACAAATGATGAGGTGAAAAGACAGAGAACTGTGCCAGTCAGATGTCAACTTAGACAGTTCCTTATCTCCACTGTGGGTGTGCAGAACTGTGCTCTTAAGTGAGGTGGCAAGTATTTCCTACAAATATTCTCCTATTATCTTGGTCATTTAATTAATATGCTAACTAGTGAATTCCTTTGATCCACTTCATGAAAATTAATTTACTTTAGCTCAGAGACAGTCTATGTTATCATCAGTTATTTATACATTTAATCATTCTATTAGGAAATAAATCAAAATTACTGATTCTCTTAATATAGAATATTTTTTTAATTCTCCCTAATACTTAGAAAAATTGCATTATTTTTTAAACCCCATAAGATTTTCAAAAAGAAATTTAAATTTGTCATTATTGTAAGTTATGGATTTGTAGTATAGTATTTCTCTTCTTTACTGCAGGATACACCACACCAAGACTTTAGGGAATGAGATGTTCGTACGTACCTCTTCTGCAAAACAGGCTTCCTGATCCTGGGCTTTGCAGCACTTCTCCAAAAGGCCAGAGAAATCGGCAGTGACAGCCACATACTGCTCCTCTGTCAATTCAGGCTTTTGCTTCACCAGGTTAATGAGAAGCCTATGGTTTGGAACAAAAGAAAATACAGGAGAATCTGCCATGCAAAAATGGCACTTTGCCAGAACATATTTGGTAGAACATTCTCAGAACCCTAGCAGCCACCCTCAGACACTTCTCCTTCCACTCGTGGCCAAGGTTAGTCCTCACACTTTTCATCAGAAAGAACGAGACTGGAAGCATGCCAAGACTCTGGCCTGCCCTGGTGCAGATTACAGAGGAGACACTATGTCAGGATTCTGTGTGCTTTTATGGAGAGGGAACTGTGCTCTCTGTCTTGCTTATCCACGTTATCCTTGTCTCTCTGCTCTTCTGCAGTGTGGTTATCCATGTTCCCAAGCCCAGATGTCCAGATGCTTACTTGTGCCATTATCATGGCTTAACTCGAGGAGCACTGGCTGCCTATAATACTCTTAGCGGTGATTATGTGTTGGAGTTAAAAGTTGACAAGGCCATAAGAAAGCTTGGGGAAGGAAGCACCTTTCTTACTATCTCTGGAGACACGCCTCTGCCTGGGGTGAAGAAAACTGGGAGAATGGGTCTGCCAATGTAGGAAGCTCATGTACAAAGCCAGTGAGTATTAAATTTAAATTAAAATACACATATATTTAAGAACATAAGTTCCCCTAGTGTCACCCCATTACCATTACAGAATGTCTCGTCATGAATGGTGTGTTTATTTCCTTTTTTAAAAACAACATGGTTGACTCAGATATAATTATCCTGCTTATAGATGCAATCACACATTTCCCGTAATTAGAAGTGTCCAGACTCTCTACAAAGATCTCTCCTAATTTTTTCAAAATATATCATCCATTTTCCTTCTACTCACAAATATGTTGCAGTTGTTATGACTGAGACAATTTTTCATAACCAGAAAATCGTCTGCCTCAGTGGACTTTTTTCAAACTAACTTCCCCTATAAGGCTGTATGAAAACTGAAACAGAACTATTTTTAAAGAGACTGTTAAGTGTTTCAAGGGCAACAACGTGTTCTAGTGAATCCAGAAGTTCTCAACATGTAAGGCAGGAGTCTCAGCTCCTCCTCCTTCTATTTCAGTCTTCTACATGAAAGAAAATAACAATGTCTTACTCTTGTTTCATGGTCTGTAGGGCTCTGCTCTGAGCTTGGCACAGATCCTTGTGGAAAATGAATTTGTCTTCAGAGAATGGTGGAGGGACATAGGTTTCATCTCTCAGAAAGCTGGTGATGCATAGCCTTCTATTGGAATATGAGGAGTTGCAGCAGTGGTGGATACCAGCGTTCACAGGGTTTGTTTCGTGTCTTATACACAAGTGTCCAATGAAAATGTCGGCCTGGTTAAAAGGAGAAAGCAGGGAGACAAAATTAGCTACCAAGTTGGCTCACATTTCCAGAAATTTCATGCAAGGACTCCCAAAGTCTAGGAACTTATCACGAATACTATGGGAAATTTTTCTATGCAGTATAATTGCCTTAGTAACCATATGTTATGGACTTTACCATTTACCCATGTGCTTGGGATAAAGCTTAGTATGTAGTGACAGATGTTGGCACACATGGTGTTGAGAAAAGCCCTTTAGCTATTTGAAGTATGCTTCTGATTGTAGACAGACTTTCAAAATGGAAAACTGTCTTTCCATCTTTATGAGTAGAAATCAGTTGGTAGCTTGTTCTCTGTGTGTATCTGGTTGTGTTTTGCCTTTTTAAAAAATATTTTATTTTAAAACATGTGTAACTAGGGGGGTGGTATGCACAGGTGATCGTGGATGCCTATGGAATCCAGAGACATCAACTCTCTATGGAACTGAAGTAGAAGGTGTTTGAGAGCCATTTTCAGTGGGTGCTAAAAACCAAACTTGGGTCCTCAACAATAGCAGTACACCCTTTTAACTGTCTAAGTCATCCCTTCAACTTCTGCATTTTTATTTTGATACAGAGAATTCTTTTCTGAAAGTTAGGATAGGGCAAATCTATCTTTGCAATTTCTTTCTACATATACACATGCACACACACAATTAGTAGAAAATAAATGTGTGTGTGTTTAAAGCCTTCAAATAGATTCTCCTAATCCCTCATACTTCAAAGATATCCCTTAAACACCAAGTTATAAATTTTAATGATTGTTAGAATGTTTCTGTGCTTCCTATTCTCAGGCTATGTCTGGGTGGATCACTTTGATTATCTAATCTAAGACAGTCACCCTACAAAATGGTGCTTTTTTATATTCTCAAATGTCAAATGCAAACAGCTCAAGCTTAGTGGCAGGAGACCCCTGGATCTTACTCCTGTACATTGCTTGGGTACAAACTACCCCAAATAGCACTCTAATGATATGACTGGCCTGCAAGAGGCAGAACTCTTAAGTGTGGATAAAATAAGATGACTACTTGTGATCTATTAGAAGTGAAATTTTTCTTTTTCTCTCCAATATGAAAGTGAGAATTTAGAGAATAAGAAGCAATAAGTTGGAGAATATATTGGTTATTATCTTTCCTATGTGTAAAGTTTGCCTTTATGTCGTTGAATAAACCCTCTGCATTTCCCCTAAGCATTCGAGAAGGATAGGAAGCCTGACCAAAGGCAAACCACTGAGAGACAGCTTTTCCACACACTTTCCATCTGAACTTATTGAAGACACCAAGGAATGCCCCCTCCACACAGGTTTCTACTGTTTCTCCTAGATGGAGATCTAAAACAGCTTCAAGTCAAACAGAACAGACATGCGATGTGACACTCACCATCCCCTCACCACAGATGGACCATTTCTCCTCGTTGAGCTGGCAGCATGTGGCAGCAATGCCCACCATCTTTCCGGTGAGGTCTATCAACTCCTCGGGGCTCAGCTGAGGGGCTTTACTCGTGTAACCAATGAGGAACCTTGAAGAAGCATTTTTACCACATCATCTTGAGTGTTTAGCCCTTCTTCCTTCCCTAGGACCTACTTTTAATGTCAGAAGACCAGAGACATGTAGTCCCCACAACTGAGAAGCTTTTAATTCTGTCAATCACGCCACATGCCCTCCCCCTCATCCTCCCCACATGTCACTCCAGGTTGCAGATTGCTCCACAGACTGGTCTCTTCCCAACCTTAGCACATCCTTGATTTCAACTGTGAATTTCGGGTGTTGGAACCTTGACAGACCAAGAGCAGAATGAATATCTCTTCTGCAAAAATCTACAGGGTTTGGGGAACCAGAAGTCAAGAAAGATCAGACTTCATGGGCTGTTCTTGTTAATATTTAACCAGGGATAACCTGGGAGAAATAATGTAATCACATTTATACCCCAGTTGGATGGAAGTAAGAATAACAGTGACTTAAGAATTTAAACTTGTGTTTCCTTCACCCATTAATTAGTAATTTCAAGTCACTGAAAACATTTCAAAACACATACAAATTTTGTAAGTGGTAGGCTCCTAGCTTCTGGTAGAGACCACAGCTTTGTTTGGCTAGTGCCTGGCTCTCCTCGATGTGTTTATGCAATTCTTCTTCCTAAAAATACAGACATTATTACATGAATTTGTCTCTACTCCCAGACACACAATCTCTATATGCCAGTATCTTATTATATTATAAAACCAATCTTAGGAACCTTTAGAAAATATTGAAGATGATACAGTGTGACTTTTAGGAATTAAAACAAATGGACTCTTGAGAATACAACCATTGGACAGAAGATTTTTGCTCTCCTGAAGCTGGCAAGGATGAATATTATCTCTGTTCTATTCACCATACTGCTTTTAACTAACATGTTTATTTCTTACATAAGCCATTGGTTGCTAGATAGAATAACTAATTTCTAGATTACTAGTTCACAAGTATAACTAGCTAATTGATAGTTAACTAGTAACTTTTTTATATTTTTTTCATTATCGGGTAGGGAGCATTGCCAAAGGGTATGTGGGACGCCGCTCCAACTTGGTGGAGTGGAGCTTTTCCCCTTCTACCTTTACATGGTACCCAAGGATACAGCTCAGTTCCCAGGCTCACACAACAGGTGCCTTTACATACCGAGCCTTCTCACTGCCCTACAAACTGTATTTTCAAAGACTTCTATCAATGCATTTTTACAGACTATCCACGCAAATTCTAGTGCTGCCTACCAGATTGTCCTGGCATGTAGGTAGATTTCCAGACTGGGAACACTTCTCCAATTTTTCCTGAAATGTTTTAGCAATTCTTAGAATGACTGAGACAGGAACGTCAGGGTGAGTTCTTGAAAATTCATGAAGAAAGCTTAAATGTGTAGGAAAAAAATATCATGTCATTAGAACTAAGACAAAATTATACTATTAATTCTCTAATTATTCCTATATAACAGTCAGAGCATACAGACATAATGTGAAAAACAAAATATAATGTGAATCCTATGAACAGCAAAACTATTAAGGCAGGCTATATATAGTCCCTCAAACCACCTGGTAAAATGTCCTTTCATGAAATCATGACATTTGCCAGAAAATGAATGGACCTGGAAATCATTAAGTGAATAAGCCAGGCTCAGACAAACTCTGCATGTTTTCTCTCATATACAAAATCTAAGTATAAATTTATGCATACATGTATGTTAAATTATTTTTAATTAAAGAAGAACGATACAAATATACCACTTTATTTTGTGTCTCACTTTGGCTCTCCAGCTGCAAGATTTCCATTCATATATCCAACAAATATGTTTTCAGAGTGCATGGTATGCTAAAATTGCTTTAAACAGTGAAGAGCTAATGCCATGTAAGAGAAAATACCTCCCCCCCCCAAGGCACATGTCGTAAGGAGGCAGACAAAAGCTTAAATGTGTCATCTCTCTTTGATAGTGATAAATCAATGAAGAAAAATAAGAAAGATGGAAGGCAGGAAGAGAGGCAACACCCAAAGATAAAGGGACACTAATTCAGCTTGTGGTTAAGCGCTGCTCCTTTGTCTGAGGGATAGAGCAGCAGATGTGTGAGTAATGGAAGGGTACAGACTTGGAGGAAGACCATTCTCAGCTGAGAAAATGTCTCCTGCAAACATTCTTTCCACTGAAGTCCTGCTTCTATGAAGCAAACTATCAGCTCTCTTACATGTGTATGCTTATATAAGCGTAGAGCTTGCTCTTTAATGTTAACTGTGCTCTAGGTAGCCTTTACTTCTACCACCAATAAAATGCCTAGATGTGTCTCCTAAATCTAGTCTTTGTTTTAGTTTGCATAACTCTGTTTAGCAGTACAAATGATGCATGAATGCCTGATTTTAGTGCAACAAAAGAGCCACATCTTTTGGGAATACTGGCAGGGAAAATTAGTGTCAGACTCTTAGCTTAGGAAAGGCCCTCGGAAACCATTAAGCATGATGTCCTAAGAGCTGCACAAACCCCCTTCTAATGGAGTCCACAGAAACATACAATAAAGGAAAAGGTATTAACTTGACTGTTGGCTTCCCTTAAAGGCAAATAGAATGAATACATGCCTAATGACTCTACTACAGAAAGCTACCATTGTACAAATGCCTCTAAGCAGGTTTTCATTTCTCAAAAATTCTATAAATATCAAGCAATCTATTTCAATGAAAGAGCTGTTATCTGGCTCCTCTATTGAGTTATAGTTTGGGGAATGTTTTTTTTTTCTAAAGCATTATTGCAAATCATTATATTCATGATCTTGAGCACTTCCTATTTTTAAATTTAATTTTATTTATCTACTAGAAGGGGGCGTGTATGCCACAGCACTCATGTGTTGTCAAGGACCACTTGTAGAAATTGGTTCAATCATTCCACGTCAGCCTCCTTGAGTTAAATCCAGGCAGTGAGGCTTGCGTGACGTTTTACCCACTGACTAAGCCGACTTGGCAGCCTATACAACCCTTATTACAAAAAAATATACATTATCTTTGAAAGTTCATAGTAGTTTTCATATGAGATATTTTAAACAGAATGCCATGCCTCATTTCAGAGAAGACATAAAACAAAACATAGATTCATAATAGTGATAATTTTGGGGTCCTCATCACGCTATAATTTATCTCATCCCCCAGTTATGAGTTCTATGTTTATAGTCCCTAGATGTCACAACACCTAGGCAGACAGCCTCAGTTGTGCTAAAGTACAATAGCCTACCACTCCCAATCACATCATGGTCTTTATCATTGCAAATGTACATTTACAAAGCATGTTACCTTGCCATGAACATGATTTTTTCCTCTGAAGAAAATTGGGCATAATTTCTGTCTCCTAAAAACTCTCTTGGATTTAGAGATAAACCTTCAGGTTTGTCGCCATTTTCTGCATGAATTACGCAAGAGCCGAGTTCGATCATAGGTAATTTGCAGCACTCTGCTATTTTGCTCGACAGAATATCTTGTTGAGAACATATATATGTCATGACTTTTTCCTGTAATGGGTAAAGTAAAATATAAATCTCAAAGATTTATCCTTTAAGGTTCTCACTTAGAGCCTGGAAAGGAAGTAGAAGAAGAAATAAATGGCGAGGTGAAAAGAAAGATCAGGAGTCAATAAGGTTATCTCACTTCATCTCTCCTTTTCTGCTTGCTTTTTACCTATCTTTCCCTTATATTTTGTTCATCTTTGCTTTTCCTCATTGCGTTCCAATTTGTTCGAGTCCTCCTTTGCACAGCTTTCATCTAGGTCCTACTTTCTATTTTTGTAAACGTCTTCCATAAAAAAAGGAAGTGTGTTGCTTAAACCAGACAGCAGCGTTTTATTGTTACTAAAATTTTCCAATGTGCAATATTCGCCGCTGGCATTCTAACCTTGCTAGCTTTCCCCTCCATCTTGATCAGAAGGATCTGCAGTGACCCACTCTACCCTCCAGAGGGCAGTCGAGAAGACGAACTGGCTGTGCAAAATTCTAGAGACACTGTCTCTGCTCAGGGACGTGCATTCTTAACAGTGACCCTTGAAACCTATTACTCAATTTTTAAAGCCTTCCTGTAAAGTACTGAAATTATTTTTCCACTCAATGAAAAAGTAGCTAGAGCTCCAAAAGTTAAAAGCTAATTTTTAAACATACAAACAAAAACCAATAAAATTGTCAATTACAAACAGGGATAGCTGACCTCAAAGAAAAACAAAATAATTTTTGCTGGTATTACTGAGGGGCTGGTGAATTCCTAATGTGCACGAGAAAATAAGTAATCAAATCTGTGCCTCAGGATTCATCCACTCCACACCGCAGGGGTGCCAGCTGCCCTAATGCTGGTCCTACTCTGTCCCCTGGGAGCCCCTGCCACCTGCTGACTTCCCTCGCTACCTCTACAAAGAATGACCCTAGAGTGTGTTGAAGTGAGTCTTTCCTGATGCCCCTGTTTCCAAAATCATATGAGCCTCTAACAACAGAGATTTTTTTTTAAGTAGTCCTTGGTGTCACAGGGATAAAAAGCGGAGTGATTTGGTATATACAGACCTCTCTCGTTCAATATCTAGAAAGCTCAGGATTAGCCCAAAATGGCCACGTCATGTATATTACCAGTTCTTATATAGTCTATTGCTAAAAGCCTAGGGGTCTAATTCTTTTAAATCCCTTTATTCACACCTCTGCTTGGCAATAAATGGACATTTCCCCCTTCCCTTCCCCCCACCCCCGCCATACAACAGTTTCCTGCATTATTTTTATGTATAAGTCTGTCATTAAACTGAGACAGAATCCTTCAATGTGCCAGACATTGCCCTGTAGAGACAGTGGTAAACAAAAGACAGTCTATAACTTCAAGAAGGCTATTGTCTTATCTCTCCGGTCTTTGATGTCATTCTTTGATGTCAATTTATACATTTTCCTGACAAGTGACACTCACTGTAAATCTGCAACTAACTCATGAGAGAGACTGTATTTCAGCCAAATGAAGAACTGAATGTACCATAGTTTCTTGGCCAGGGGCAGGTATTGCTAATGCCTGAAGTGAGACCCAAAAGTAATCATGGCATAGCTTAAATTTTACTCTTAGAAAGTCTGTAAGTTTGCTGCACCCCAGCCAAGCCAGGCACAGTGAAATATTAAGTGAGACAAAGCAAAAAGGGAGAGAGGGAGACTCCTACCCCATCCTGCAGGCACTCCAGCGCATTTCCTTGGCAGCACTCCTCGTGGATGTGGGCCACATCCAGGGCCAGCTTCCGAATCTCAGTAAAATTTGCTTTGGGAAACTTTTGACTTAGCTTAACAATGGTTCTGAGAGAAGAAGATTAAAATATATATATATCTTGTTTATCAGGATGAAATTGCATTGCCTGTAAAGTATCTGGGGAGTTGCCTCCAATGGGAAAAAATAGAGGTGTGTTCTTTTAAAAGAAAAGGAAACACATCTTAGGTTTCATTAGCTTCTGTTCCACCAGGCATGAGCTCTGCAGATTGGGGACTGGGTCCTCAAATAATTTGGAAGTAATCTGTAGCTTCCTGAAGACTTTCTAGGAACTCAAGATAAATGTTGTCCTTGCTTGTTCATCCCTGACTCTGAACATTTGGGATCTTTGTTACAGGCACAGAGACATTCAGCGATAATTCCAGCTGACTGGAAGTGACCAGCCTGAGCTACCAGATTCTGCCTCAAAAAGGACAAATGTGTATCTTTATTAAAGAATAAAGGATTTAAGAAGGGGGGAATTCTTTGACAATAATACTTAGTTCTCATCTCATAGAAATAAATACATGGGAGAAATCAAGGAGAGTTCAGATGCCCGAATCGACAGATTGAAAGAAGTAGACCAGACTTGACATCAGAGACCAAGGCATTAGACCGTGGCAGAAGGAAGTATAAAATAAACCTGCAGAATTCATGGGAAGGGTCTCTGTGCAAAGAGCCTGCTTCCTTGAATAAATGACTGAGTCGTTGCTACTGACAGCTCGGGAATAACTGTGGAGTGTATGGCTTCTCTTGCTGATAGAAACATTATGCAGTTTCTGTCATTGTGTCTTAATTTTTATTTTACTGTTAAGACAGATTTTTAAAAAGTGTTTTATGAAATGATGACTAAGTTTCTAGCAGAATCAGGAAGCAATTGTGAGATAAATCTGACCCCTTCCAGGAGGGAGGCACAGCCAGTCTTTGGAAGGAACTATGGGACTGAAAATGTGCACTGGGGATTGGCTGCGCACAATACCTAGGCCTCATGACACCTAGAACCATCTGCTCATCTGCCACTGGCTTCTAAAGTTGTTGACTCAAGGGAATATTTTACTGAGAAGTAACAATTGACACACAGGGTTGATTGGGAAGCCTGGTAAACAAGAAGAATTTCTTGTTAAGCTACAAGTCTGAGAGGCCTCTCTGTGAAGGTTGACCTACTTTGTAGAAGAGCTGGGGAAATATGGTCTATTGGGGGGCGGAGTGACGTTACATTGAGCCTATCAGATTGCCTCCTAAGAAGCTTATACTTACACAGCCTGGAGGTTTCGGGATCCAAATTTTCTTATCACTGCACATACGTGCTCATTTAGCATGGCGCCTTCTCTTAATTCCTTTGCAATTGTTGCTCTCTAGATGCAGAAGAAATGAAGTGTTAAGAAAACCCACTCATTCTCTCTAGAATCTAAGAACTAGAAAAGCTCAGTACAGGTGACACCTGAAAGTATAAAATAGCTTTTACTAAACTTAGAATGCAGGACGTTTAAGCACATTGTTCTATTTTTATGACTTTTAGATTAATTCTTATGTATATATGCCTGAGATCTCTTTAAAAGTCTTCAAATCAATACATCATAATTTTGATACTGGGACCACATGGACAACTGCACCTGTCCAGCCTCCAGGCAAACTAAAGCCTATTGGTTCCTACTCTGTTAAAAAAAAAAGAAAAAGAAAAAGAAAAATGAAAAGAAAAACAAAAAGAAAGAGAAAAAGAAAGATTGCGCTATAGGCGTGATTCTTAGGCGTTTGGCCCAGTTGACAATATGTAACAAGACTCTGTCTCAAAAGGCAAAGTGAAATGACCAAACAAAAGCCAGAAGCTGGAATATGCTTCATTTTGCCAACACATGAACAACCCCACCAATTTCCAGCTTCCTTGTCTCTGGTTAAACTTGTAATGTGCTCTCCAACTGTCAGTTACCTATAGGGCTGGTTATTCTGTATCAACATTGTTTTCTGCCCTACAGAAGAGAGGCACAATCCCATCACTCAAACGGGCTTGCAGCTACTAAATCACCTCCTCCAAGTACGTACATCGCTGTTGCCTCTGCTCTCTTTAAAGATTCAGTAAATGCTGATTCATGAAACCACAAAGTACACACATTTTTTACTTCAGCCTAGAGTTATACCTTACTATTATGGGTATCATTTCTAACTATAAATAGAAAATGAAATTCTGTTGATAATTGGAAAGGTCAAGAAAAAAGGACTTTCATTTAGGATAAGAAAGAATTACACTCTCTTCTGAAGATGGCATCCTCCACAGGGAGGCACATTTTCACCTTTAATTCTGTTTTCCCTGAGCTATAGCTAGACTCCATTTAGTTTTAGATAGCTTCACAAAGATACTACCTTTGTCTGGAAGCATTCTTCCATGTTGTCAGCTTTGCAGCACGCTGGAACTACTTTGTCATACTGAGCAGCCAGGGAAAGAATGGTAGGGGCATACATGAAGGTGTTCCTCCTTGCCACTTCGTAGAGGAACCTGTGGAATAGACAACGCTTGGAAATCTGCGAACATGTAAAAGATGAATAGACTGCAGCTGCCCTGAACTGAGCTCTGGAATTTATTTAAAGATCACAGTTACAGCAAAAGCAACAGAGTCCAGTGGACTTTTTCTTTACTGTGCTGTTATGGGGAAGTGTGCACGCTTTTTTCAGATGCTATCAAAAAGTTCCTACATGTCAACCTCGGGAGAAAAGAAAAGATCCAATGTGTTGTTCCAGAGTCTTTTATGAAAACAGATAAGCAAAGATGCTATGATTCTTATTGAAATGTCTTTTTCAGTAAGTCTGCTCAGACATGTCTGGGGAATCAGCCAAGCCAGGTTCTAAGTAAGACAACTTAAATCTCAAACCCATCCTTAACTGCATACTTAGTCCAAGACCATCCTGGCTTTCCTAAGATGATGTTTCAAAAATAAAATGAAATATTTTTTAAAGTTAAAAGGAAGGGTACAGGGTGACATCAAAGCTTGTGAGTATTTATTCAATCATTTGTACCGAGCACATTTATTCCAAACACATCTGACTACGCAGTCTTAATTATCAATTTAATGGCTCTCAAAAGTCATTCTTTGCAGTCCTGATGTATTTTTGTGTGAAGCAAAATAAAAACTTTAAAGGTGAGAAGGAGCTATGTTTCCAGAGGCTGAAGGATCACAGGCTGAATCTGCAAGCAGTCTGTTCTGCATTTCACAGTGTATGTCTAACTGGAGCCCCTGAGGTGTTCTTTGCACAGACCTCAGCAGACACACTCTGGCTACATTCCCTACTTGTACACACTTTGGAGTACATGGACACACTCTGGCTACATTTCCTACTTGTACACACTTTGGAGTACACGTGTAGACAGCAAAAACAATGACCACCCACTGGAGGGTCCTCACCTGTTCATGAACACTGTCCTGTTTTCGTTGTATGCTTTGCAACTCTCGGCAGGTTCTGGAAACTGGAAGGGTGGGACAGAGGCCAGAGCAGTATTCTTGCGTGCCAGCAGACACTGGTGTCTTTCCACCCCACTCTGGCTGCAGCAGTCTGAGAATCCATACTTGTTAGAGAGTTCTGTCTCGTGGCACATTTCATCCAGAAACACAGATAGCTGGGAAAAGAAAATCTTTCGTTGTTAATGAAAGGCGACTATCTAACTCCACTGGAACAAGTGTGTAAAGTTTTCTAGTGTCCAAAATGAGACCAGTAAGTTAAGAAGAATTTCCATACACATTCAGTGTATTTCCTCTCAGTCTAATGTGAGGACTTTCTTTAGTAGCTTTTAGGGTGAAGGGCTTTAAGCTTATATCTGTTGGGTACCACACATTCTGTGTGTGAGATATAATTATTTTAAAAGTAAAAGGGGCCATGCAGTATTTTATCTTTCCTATCTTGTTTTATGTGAATTTTACTCTTTTATTTCATGAAAAACTTGTCCCCAAGATAATAGAAACTTTCCTCTTCTTACATAATCATTGTTTTACAGATACTCATTTCTTTTGGCCTTCTAACAACACGAAAGTAGTCAAAAACTAGATATTATTTTTAGTTAAAAATAAGAGGGACTTCAAAGTGGACTAAATATAGAACCACCCTTCATTAGTCATAATTACCGATTTAGCTACAACATTTTAAAATGCTTTCTTCCTTAGCACCTAAATTCACTAAGATTTGGACAAGACCATTATTTTGAAGGAAGTCACCCACCTCAGGGAAATCATTGTTAAAATTTAACAACTGCTAATATTTTAAAAATCTTGACAGTCTCTCTTAAGACTCTAATTCTCTATATTCACTTTTGGCTTGTGATGCTCTCTAGGTGGATAAGATAGTCTCTTCCTGATGATGTCATGACCAGCCTGAAACTCACTATGTAAACTAGAGTAGCCCCAAATCCAGATCCACTTGCCTCAGCCTCCCAACCCCTGAGATCATAGAGGTGCACTACCATATGTTTCAGTCAACCTTTTTAAATAAATCTTTTGAATTTGCAGTGACAGGTCATCCCATTTGCAACATTACCCTGAACACTAACTGAATACAAAAGGCATGATATGATAAGAAGTGTTTGGGGCATAATTTATGCATACCCTCTTAACTGACTGACAAAGAATGACTAAAACTAAGGTACAAACCAGAGATCTCTATTAACTAATAAATTTTAGAGTTGGAAGCATCTGAAGTTGCCTCGTTACAGACTAGATTTCATAATTCCAGAAGGGGCTGTGCACAGTGCTGGGGGAGAAAAGTCATCTAATCTACAGGCTGACCCAGCTGTAAACCCTGTGAACTAAAATTAGTCTGGCTAAGGTATATCCATTGGTACAACAGTGGCATAAATTCATGAGAGTGATGAGCAGTGCTCTCTGACAGGGTGACACTCAGGCCTGGCACTGTAAACTGGGCCAAGAACCCACGGCTGAGTATGGTATAGTCCCTAAGAGCAAACCTATTTCTATTTATTTTACTGAATGGACATAGTACCAGATTGCCTTCTAAACAAAGAAAGGCAGAGCTTTGTCCAGCCCCCAGTCTTCATCCCAGAAGATTCTACTTGCAGGGGATGATGATGAATACAGAGATTCACAACTGGCCAAAATGCAGAAGATAAGTAAGTAGCTGTGATGTGTTCAGCCCCAAATGGGACATCTACAGAGAGAAGAGGCTCTCTCCCCTCAAAATCAGGGTCCATTGGAGAAGAGGGAAGAAAAAATTCTACAACCAGAGATTGCAGGAAGACTACAGCAGAAACTGTTTTCATACACGACAGGGCAATTGCACACATGGAGTATCTGTGGCTGTGGTTGTCTGCACAAGACCTTCACAAAATCAGCTAATCAAAACTCGCATGGAGGGAGAGGGGCTCATAAATCCCCAGCCTGTGCAGAGGAGTGACTGGCGGTTGGAAGATAAAAAGCAGGGTTTCTTAGGGTGCGGCCCTTGGCACATGCACCATTGGAATGTCCTGTGCCCGTGCACATACTGCAAGCACTAATTAGACAGCATAAGTTTAAAAAAAAAACAGAGACTGCAATAACAATGTAGCAGTGGAGGCAGACTGGGGGAGTTAGAAGGGGCTGGGAATTAAAATACTTTTATGAAAGTCTCAAAGAATACATTTTATCATTTTTGTAAAAGGAGATCTTCTACACAGTGGCCAGACACATAACATTTTGGCTACTTCAACTTCACTATCACGGAGCTCTAATGTAGTTGTTCCATACTTACATAACTCCAACAAGTATAAAGTTTATTTCTATACAGTATTAACTAAATAATAGCTATTTTGTATTGAGCTTCTATACCAGGACAACTGGGTACTTAAACTTGATTGATTTTCTAAAGCTCTGTCGTACCTGGATATCAGACATTTATGCCCCTGTCTGTGTATGTACTATATCTAACAACCCAGATAACCTGCTATGAGCCTCACATTCACCATGCTGTGTTCGACAGTGAGCACTTTGCTAAGGACCTAATTCTGGAGCCAGAAGACTTCATTTAATCCTCAGTTCTGCCAAACTACAGTTCCCCAAAGGAATGATTTCCCTGTGCCTAAGTTTCCTCCATGGGAAAATTATCCTCAACCCTGAAGGATTATCATAGAGATTTGATTAGTCAGTCAATTAATTAAATTATTATTGTATAATATGATATAATATATAAAATTATAACTATATAATAAATATGAATTGTTCATATAGAATATAATATGTAATATATAATGTACAATGTAATATAAAATATGTGATATGTCTCTGCATGTAATATATAATATAGTATGTAACATGTAATATATGTATAAAATATAAATATTATAATGTAATTTAATAAATTAACATTTGTAAATAAAATAGGGGTTCTTATGATAAGCTGCAGCCAAGTTCTCTTAGTTGACTGAACAGACTTTCTGTTGGCATCACCTTCCAAGCAGCGTTTTGATTATCAATGTGTTTGCAGTGATGCCTAGAATGCTGTCAGCCACACTGTCTGCATAAGAGGCAATATATTGCCATTCATCATCAACACAAATCTCCATGACAGCTCTGAATGGATCTAATGTCACTCCTTAATTACAGGTATGAAAGCTCAAAGGAGAGAATGTGTCCATGGTCACTCAGATAACCTTACTCTGGAAACTTAACTGAGTCTTGTGCTAATCTCAGCTCCTTTATGCAGCCGCTTGCTCTGCAACACAGTGCTGTTCAGGATTCTAGAACTAATCGAACCCTGCCTTCAGAAAATGTACAAATTCCTGGCATCTTTTTTGTCTTCTGCAACCTAAGTTTTGGTTAAGTGTCAACGTGGCTTTCTCTTTATTCACTCACCTGGTTTTCTAGACACCAGTCGTCAGTGTTTTTCTTCATTGCAGTCAACACATCACTAGTCATTTTGTTGATTTCATCCTCAGTGGCTTCCTTAACAAACTGGGAAAAGGTGATGATTGCTCTGAAACGAGACCACAGGCAGAGGCTTAAGGACTAGACCCAGTCACGCTTGTCTTTCAAGTACAGCTTTGTGTGTTGGTGGCTTTCTGCTCTGATCTGTTTAGAAGGCCCCTTTTGCTAAAGATCTTTGGGAAACTGGGTTCTAGTCACTCAGAAGGAAATGCCAGCCTTCTTTCTGTCATCTTCACCCCTAAATACAGATGTGAGTCTTAAAAGTCAAAATAGATTTCCCCAAAACGTACTTCCTCTTTTTTGGATCACTGCTCACTGAGCATCTATCTATACCTGGGAAGGTCTACATTCTTTACACTATTTTTCTTACTTAATTTAAGCAAAGATGAAGTCATTGGACCTTCAATTATGTTTGTTCCCAGCATGACTGAACCCCAATCTTAGATTGTGCTAGTCCCAGGTTGACTCAAAGTGACGTGTGTCCAGCTTTCTGCATGCAGACATCATCACTAACACACACGTTTAAGTTCCTTACTCTAAATTTCAAATAAGTAGGACAGAGCAATTGTTGTGGAATTTAAACAAAAACCGTAAATTTTAGAACTGTGAAGTTATTAGGAACCACCTGTCCAGACATCTTAATTTTTATTTACAATGTTTAAAGGAATAAAATATTTTCCACAAATAACAGAAATTAAAAATAGCTTACGTCCTGTGACTTGATATTAAATATTTTACAATATAGAGAATATTGCAGTATCTTCCTATCAGTTCTGATAAGGCACACTCCTGAGCCCATACAAAACTGCAGAGAAATTAATCTTCAGTTTTGAAAAAAATCTGATTTGGCTTGATTTGTGGAATTCCAGGCAATGTAAAGGCTAAGATCTAAAGCACTGACTGAAGTTAAAAATTTTGCATAGCAGTTTGATATTAAGCATAAGCAAAACCTTAAAATCGTTCAATGTGTTCCTGTAATTTAAAAACTTATATTCAGTTACCCAGACTTATCTTTGCATGCCATTTCTGCAGCACATTTATGGAAGCAAAACTTACATGTTATTCATATTCTTCTCTGTCAAGCACTGGGAAGAATCTAACGTGGAAGCTGGAAAAGAAAATGGATTTTGACAAGTGATGACTTCAACTGGGAAATCAATCGTTGTTGAATTTAAACCCAAACCACAAATTTTAGAAATGTGAAGTTATTAGGAACCACCTGTCCAGACATTTTAATTTTACACTTGGGAAAACTAAAAAAAATTAAACAACAATGTTAACCAGAATGATCAGTTGTAGACTTAACACTAATACTCATATTTCAGGTTTCCTTAATATTTGGCTCCCCTAATACTGTAATATTCGACCTGGCTTAATTTAGTAGCCTTTGGACACAATTATGGTACAGTCTGAACATTCACACTAAGGCTTTCCAGAGTCAAAGAATTAGCCCTTTTTAAAAGATTGAGAATAAAAACGTCATTTTTGTCAATCCGAAGGAACTAGACATGTGGGCTGTCTAAATAAATAATATCAAAAAATTGAGCATGAAACGCAACAAAAACTGATTGTGCTGAACGCTGCTGTTATTTTATAAGCCTCTTACATAAAATTACATTTATCCTTTATCTAAATCTATCTGCCAGTTAAATAGATTCCTTGTCCGTAACAGTACATATAATGCCTAAATCAAGATACCTGGAGATGCAAATTTGGGAATGTTAAAGAATTTTGTTATAGAAAAATAGCTCCCAAGTCATAAAGCATCTTACCTATTCCAAACTCATTTGTGTGCAGTGCTTTGGATTCTGCAAAATTTAGCAGGAGGATGAAGGAAATGGATACGATCCACTTCATGGCTGCTGATTGCTTCATCGCAGGCAGTGCTGGAAGCGGAATATTGTGAACAGTTCTGCTGAAGTTCTTTTATATCCTTTTTAAGTGATGTCTGTTAACTAGTAACCTTCAGTGGGCAAACATATTTCTTTATTTCCTTATGTTGAAGTTAGGCAATTTGCCAATAATTAACAGCACAGGGTCACTTGTATCCTATGTTCAAGGACAAAGACCACTTCAGAGAGGACAAAATAAACAAAGTATTGCAAGTGCTGCAAATGTTCTTCACCATCTAAACTGTTCAAATAGGTAATTCATCCTAAGATGAATAATCTTAGAATAATGTATTTATTTCTATGTGAAACATTGACATAGCCATAAAGAAAAGATAGTAGACTTACTATGTAAATCCAACTACATTAATTCTCTTTAAAAGAAATAATAAAATGCATATTGTGTGCTAGGCACTGAATATATTGTTTGACTAATTCAGACTCTTCATTAGTGGATATATTTCTTGATTATCCAGTTATTATTTAGCTCAAAACTGTTGGTCAAGTGGATATATTTTATTTAGTGTATTGTGTCTGGTTTAACATAGAAAACTTACAGCACAAAACTTGATGAATGAGTTCCCATTCTAATTTTATGTGCCAAAGAATAATTCTGTATGTATGTCACAGGTACGTGGGTCAGCTGCATCATCCTCTCAGGCCCTCAAGATAATGATGCTAACACTAACAGGCACTGATATACTTCTAAGCCTAAGAGTACTTCATCTCATACCTTCACCCTCGATGCCATAGAGTCTAGGATAGTTTTTAATTTCTCTACCCATTAGAGTTAATGGAAAACTTTTAAAAGTTCCCAGTGCATATCTAAACTATAACTGAGACTTTGGTGTGTCAGAATCTGTGTATCTAGAGGTCCAGACATGTTTGCTAAAACTTCATATGCAGTTGAGTTTATTTTTTTTTATTTTTTTAAATCCATTCTTTAAACATTTCTTTTATGTGCTTCAGTGTTTGGGCTGAATATATGTCTGTGCACTATATGCATTCCTGTTTCATGAAGAGGTCAGAAGAGGGTATTGACTCCCCTAGAAACAGAGTTACAGATGATTGTGAGCTGCCATGTGGGCACTTAAAATTGAACCCAGGTCCTCTGGAAGAGCAGAACGTGTCCTTAACTGCTGAGCTATCTGCATAGCCTGTGAGCAGCTATTTTAAAGTTGTGATTATAAAAGCAAATGACATACACTAGAAAATATAATGGATAGAAACACTACTATCAAACTGGTTTTGTAGGGTAATATTTAATGTAATAGAAAGATTCTCATAATATATTAGTAATAGAAAATGGGGGGAAACACACAGTATGACCTTATTTTCAGACTGTACCTGTACTTCTTTCTGTCCTCAAAATAAAATGTAAATGAGAACACAGCAATGACAGGCCAGAGTTTAACATTAGCTTTCTAGATTGCAAGGGAAATCAGACTCTGACACCCTCTCTCTCTCTCTCTCTCTCTCTCTCTCTCGCTCTCGCTCTCGCTCTCGCTCTCGCTCTCGCTCTCGCTCTCGCTCTCGCTCTCTCTCTCTCTCTCTCTCTCTCTCTCTGTCTCTTCCTCTCTCCCCTCTCTCTCACCTTTCCTCCTTCCCTCTCTCCTCCCATCTCAACTCATAAAATAACAGTAAATGATTTAAGTACACTGAGTACATTTTACACTATGCATAGCACATCAAGTGTTGAGGCAAGAACCAACACTTGCTGAGTGGATAGTGAATGGATTCATCCAATGACAAGGGTTTAAAGTGAAATATGCATCTCCGTTTTAGTTTGGTTTTTTTTTGGCTGGTCAATCGTTTGGATGGTTGGTTTGTGAACGACTGGCTTTGAGTTCCTGATTTTCCTAACTTGGCCTCCCGGGTCCTGGATTACATGTGTGCTATGTCTCTCCTTGATCATTCTGAGATCTTCCTATCTTTACAGATTCTATGTTAAGTTTTATGCTAGTATGTATGTAATATGCAAGGCTAAGTGTCTGGTTTCATCATCTTTTCAGAAAAGCTAGATGAATCATGTGTAAATATGATGATACATATATGCATACATATATATACATACATATACACATAAAAGCTACAGATAATATGTACATATCAAGAGAGAGGCATGTTATATCAGCCACCAATTCATTGGCATGCTTCTACACCTAAGCCAGGAAGAGCAGACTAGATCAGCCCAGGGCCTGCAGGGTTTGTGTCATCCTTAATTCCTATCTTCACTCTACCTTGTGAGGAGATCTCCACAACTCCAAAGCATGTGATCAGAAAGGTACACAGGGTCACAGTTAAACATGAACGTATGGCGACGAGGATTGCATTTTGCCCTCTCCGTTATCTGCCACATGACTTTGTGCGAGATCTCTAGTACCATCTGCAAACAACCCCAAGCCCACGTGTGCTGTTGCTCAAAGCTTTGTCGCAAATATTGAGATCACACCACATACCTCTCATAGCTCTATGTCTGGTTCTATTTGTCACTTCCTGAGCCCATGAAACCCCTCAGAGGCACTATGGTTAAACAAACTGGACTTTAGTATATGAAAGGCTCTACCCTTGACTATTCAAACTGTCAGCCAGATGACAAAAACTCAAACAAACTTTACTCTCAATACATTCATCTATTAAATTATGAAAAATTAATACCTTTTTAGTAAATGAAGGTTAGAAAAACTAGTAAGAATTAATAACTCAGGATAGGGCCTGCCACTGAGTAGAACTTAACAGGTGGGAGTCTGTTTATTCATTCAACAAAAGTGTGAAGTCTGCATTTGAGATGCTGAAGGGAAGAGTCAGCAATAAGAATTAGGCAGGATTACTGACTGAGACCATATCTCATTGGATGGAGGAATGACTGCATCCACTATACCCAGATTCTATGATGGATGTTGTACTGTGTGGAAGGAAAAGAGATCCTGGCATCTTTGTGCGGGTGAGGTATTGTTGAAGGAAGTCACATTTCAAAGAGACACGAAGTAAAGGTGGTAGGTAGGCTAAATAATGAGGCTTACCTCTTAACTCGAGGAATGTAAAAGGAAATGAAAGGTCTGTTGATGGAGCGAAGAGCGTATTTCAGGAATGAAAAGAAAGGCAACGTCTGTGAAACAGAGTTTAGAAATGTGGGCACATACTCATAATAGTCAGAAGACAGCCCTGTAGACTCTGTTCCCTCTTTCCCCTCTTCTGTGAGCTCCAGGGATGGAATTCAGGTTGTTGAGCTTACGGAGCTATGTTCTTTTTCCCATCACTGAACCTGATATGGGGACTGTTTTTGATGAGGCTGGCAGAGGCTATATCTCAAGGACTTCACCATGCTCCCATTTCATCTGAGAACAATGGGAGGCCCACAAAGGAGAGCCAATAAAAAAAATTATTTTTGTCCTTTGAAAATGTCTCTGCTACTGTCAAAGGAGACTAGACCAATTAAGAACCTGATGCAGCGTGTAGTCTAATAAGCCACATGGGTGAAAGCATTGCTGATAGGAAATGAGAAATACACATAAAACTGCATAATATGAATGAAGTAAATTTTTAAAAAATGATTTAAAAGCTAAGTGCACACATACTGTATCCTAGAGAGAGGCGGGGGAGGGAGACAGAGAGACAGAGGGAGAGACTGGTTTGCTCTAATGGTTCTGGCTAGTTGTACTGACTTAATGTAACCCAAGCTTGCTCTTTACTCCCAGGAATGTTGTAGGCACAACATCCTGATTTGCAGGTTGAAGAAGTTGACAGACGTTGGCTTATTGTTTCCTATCTCCAGAACTACACAGAGGGGATGAGTATTGGAATATCTCCAGCATATCGAGGGTTAGTGTAGCTGTGGGGGGTAGATGAGAAACTGTGTGGTAAAGCAGAACCAGAGATAGCAAAGGCTGCAAGAAGAGATAAAGAGGAGCTTTGAACCACAGTTTGTGTGCTGACCGCAAACAATGCTAACTCTTGCTGTGCCGTTGCTCAAAGCTTAGTCCTAAGTACAGAGTTCACGACAAATACTTTCCGGTTGCTCTGATTCTTGTTCTGTTGACTTTTTCCATAAATCCTTGAATCTCCCCAGGTGCAATGTGACCCGGTAAACTGAACTCTGTGATCAAAAAGATGCTAATCTTGCCTGTGTCCGTTATTAGCCATATGACATTTGGCAAATCATTTAATATGACTGATTCTGGATTATATCATTTATATCACAAAAACAATACTTCTCCTCAAGTGTCTTTTCATGTGGAGGTAGAACGATGTGTCCCAAATGCTGGGTGGGTACAAATATTTCTAAAAAGTTGAGAGTAAATATCACCATTCTTAGAACTAGCATATTTAGAATGTACAGTTAGACTGCATATGTGAATTGACAGAAAATGACTTTCACTCTTTCAGGATCCTCTCTCTCTCTCTCTCTCTCTCTCTCTCTCCCTCTCCCTTCCTCCCTCTCTCTCTCTCTCTCTCTTTCTCTCTCTGTGTGTATATATGTATGTGTGTGTATGTACGTATATGTGTGTGCAAGTGTGTGTGTGTTCCTGAAAGTATAGTTCTTACATTTCTAGTGCCTTACCCATCACTGCGTATAATAACTTACCACCACTCTTCAAGGTATAGACCATATAATTGTCTGTGGGTGTTTTTTTAAGCACTCACTAGAGAAGGTCCCTCTCTGACAACTTCTAACACTCTTTAAGTTGTTTTCTCATGAAAGTTCTTATGTGCCCTTTAATCCTAGTCTTCTGTGAGCCATCTGACTCTTCCCAGATGATTAACTTCTTGAATTCACCATGGTGCTTAGCACAACATCTGAAACACAGCATAATCTTTACAAACAGAAATCAAAATGTCATCGAATCAAATGGCAGTCAGAATTTATGCCCTTGAATGAATTGCACACATCTGATGTTCTTCTGGTAACAGAATGCTGTTGAAATATTCATGTATTATCTTACCTAGGGCTGGTACTCTGCAGGCACAAGAGCACACATGAGAATGAGATGGAATCTAGCATCTTTCGAGGAAGCCAATGCCTGTCA